TTGCTCCTAGTAGTAAGGCCAGGAGCCCCTAGTAGCGTCCTTGCTCCCAAGTGGTAAGGCCAGGAGCCCCTAGTAGCGTCCTTGGTCCTACTGGGAGAGAGAAAGAGAGAGAGAGAGTCTGCAAGATTATTGTATTTGTATCTTCGAGCTGTCGAAGAGCTCTCCCATCGTGGCGTGGCGGTGCCTCCCATCCTGCGCTTTCTCCCCGCTTCTCGTCGCACGTCCAGCTTATTGTTTCTAATAGCTTCTTGTTACTACTAGTAAGGCACTTGTTACTAGAAGCGATGCACTTTGTTCCTAGTAGCTTCTTGTTTCTAACAGATGGATTCCACGGACGGCAAGCAGAAGATCTCCTCCTCCGTCCTCGAGCGCTTCGTCTCCGAGGCGGGTCCGCCGGAAGGTTTCGGAGGTCCGGAGCAGTTGGCCCTCAAACCATGGGGTACAGTGGTTAGTGTTGTTCCCAAAGATGGCATTGAAAGGGCCGGGAAGGCTTGAACCGAAACCCAGTCAATGTCCGTGGCAGGTGCATGAGAACGAGGTGAAGGCTTTAAAAGACGAGGTCACGCAGAAGAACTGGCAGTTGAAGCAGATGAAGCAGGCGTGTAATTGTGAGACCTGGGCTGGGCTCACATGCTAGGGCGACAGCAATGTTTTCTTGAGAGGAGTGGAGGAGGTTAGCACTCTCCCGAGTTTTGAAAGACCAAATGAACCAAAGACCGCCAGCATCTCACTACCGCGTGAGCACCAAACAAAACGTGAGTCCGTCAGTCCTGTGGAGTGTCTTCTTTCAGGCGCAGAACTTCTTGGAGACCCAACTCTTGAAAAGCAGCTGGGTTAGAGGGATCTTTGGAGTGTCCAGTCTGGTGCAAGGGGTCAGGAAACCTCCAGAAAGCTTGCTGCTCTTTTTTGGGGTCAAATACCTGGTGGGGGTCCTCCCAGATGTATTGAAGATAGCAGCGTACTGTCCCTTTCAACGTCTCATAGATACTGCTCTAATGGTTCCTGGGGAATGGTTTAGATCACCCAGTCGAACTCTGGTATTGACTCCAAATCGAAGTCCTTGGCATTTTCGAATGTCTGGACTATTCTCGACAACCCTTGCTGCCTCTGTCCCTTTCATGGTGTGCCCATTGGCACGCCATTGGTGCGATAAACCACCATTCATCCACGCCAGCTACCAAAGAGCCCACTGATGCTCCCTGAAGCAAACACGCCAATGACTACTCCGAACGGCGCGGGCCCTCACCGAGACACCCAGAGCCCGAACGAGCGGACCGCGGGGAGCCTGGAGAAGATGCTGCAGGTCACCGAGGCCCGGGTCACGGGACGAGACGGAAGAAGCGCCACTTCCTACCTTTCGCTAGGGACGCCGATTGGAGGGCCGAAAAAGGAAAAGAAAGGTACAATATAGTTTTAGGTTGGAGGCCATCGCTCTTAGGTTATGGTTCCTTTTTGCCGAAGGGGGGGGGTGTGCGATGGATGGCTTCGGGGTCCAGGGGCATATGCGAGGGAGCGGAGAGGGAGCGGAGAGGGAGCGGAGAGGGGGAGTGTGGTGGACGGAAGTTTTTCGTTAGGGTGACTGGTGGGTTTTGGGATGTGGGATGATGTGGGGGAAGATCCGTGGAGCTGTGGCGTGCAAGGTTTGGGTGTTGGGTTGGGTGTCTTTAGGTTGGTGGGGTCGTCCAAAAAAAAGGGCTCCCCAGGGCCAGACAGGCCACGCTGCCCGGCTGGGATGGGGAGCTCTCGAGCTAAGAGAAGAGTGGAGCCGGCTGGAGTGTTGCTGGGCAGAACTTGACAGGAGCAGCTGTCGCATGTCCGGGGTGCTTTCTATGACCTGCAGAAGGACCAGGGTTCAAGTTCATTCCGCTCGTGTGAGGTTGGATTCTTGAGCCCAACTCCCGGACTCGCTGGTGACCAGTCAAAGGGACGACAAGGGCAATTTGAGCTCCCAATGATTTGGACTACAATGCATGCCACGATTGCGATTTTCGTCCCTAGAGGTGAGGCAGGTTACAATAGCCAACCCGACAGTACTCATCATTTCGTTAGTACAATGTGACTGTCAGGGTGGTGGGTGAGATCGTGCCTAAAGGTCAGAACCGACCAGCAGACGATCATTCAACTTCTATTCACCAGCACAACTTTGCTGCGGATCTTCACGATAGATCGAAGACATTGAAGACATGCCATACTCATGTCCTGCCTCTCAAGCACGAGGAGGAGCACAGGCTCCGCGAGTTGTGTGAAAGCAGCACCGCGGAGCAGAAGGAGATGGCAGAGCGCTTGGAGCAGGTGCCTGGCATGACGAAACGGTGAAACGACTGGGCAGGGAAAATCGGAAGGACCTGAAATCTGGCTGATGCCAGCATGTTGTGGCTTTGGTGGTGGGAATGAGTATTATGGTGTGTAAGTGGTCTTCAACCCATGGCTGTGGCTCATGAATCAGACCAACATTTTGGTGACCATTTTCACAACCGGCATCCGCCCACTAAACCAGAGTCAGGGGAGTCTAATCACTAGGGCTTAGCGGCTTAGATTCCGTGGGGGGAATTGACAAGACCTCGCCATCCTAGACCCTCAGCAGTCGACTTGACGTCCGTATACATCTTGCTTCGTGAAAATCCCTTCCGCGAGTTGGCTGAAATTCGCACCATCCGAAGGGCTCCCGAGGGTGTCGAGGCCTTTTCAAGGGGTGTCAAGGCCTGGACTTCTCAGACAATCAGCCGAACAGGAGATGTCCGAGAACGGGCTCTTGCAGTCCGAGATCGCCCGGCTCTGCAGCGCCTGAGTTGCAGGGGGTGGGGGTGGTTTGCAGGATGCATCTTGAGGCACAGCTCCTGGATCCTGCTGATGACAATTGAAGGCACAAGCTGCTGGACTCCTTCCCGCCTTTTCTTTTTCCATATCGTGCCTTTCTAGCATTGTTTTTCTTGGAGCGAGTGCCTGTGGCACCTTTAGCTTCAGTGCAATGGATCCTTTTGTTGTGGGATCCTTTGGAGTAGGGTTCTTCTTTGGAGGAAGGGATTGCGCCCAGTAAGCTTTAGTGCATGGGTTCCAAAACCCTTGATTTGGGAAGGTGCTGGTCACTCGTGCTGGTCACCCTTCTTGGTCGGCTTCTTACTTCTCAGACGAGATTCTTACTTCAATTACTTCGCCAGGTGTTGAAGAGGATCAGAAGCAGATGATTCAATCTTTGGAGACGGAACACATTGAGTTGAAGGCGCTGACTCGGACTTCGCTCCAGAGCCGAGTCTTGCGTGAGGGAGCACAAGCGAAGCATCCGAGTTGAGGGGGTGACTCGAGTTGGGAGGTGGTAATTTCATCCAGCTGAGCTTCTTTTTCTTAGGTTGGAGGCCTTTGCTATTAGGTTGGAGGCCATCGCTTCATTGCTATTAGGTTGGAGGCCATGGATACTTGGTGCGCACGTCCCATCCACCACACGTGCCGTCGAACTCCTTGGCCTCTTCAGGAGACTATCAAAGAGCAGCAAGTAAGGCGACTGGGGTGATTGTTGGTGTCAGGTGATGATCGTTGATCAATGGTGGCAGGGATTCAAGGCCAGTCGCCCGGACCAGTTTGCATACGTTTTGACTCTCCCAAGACCCACTTCGAAGAGAGAGAGAGAGAGAGCTGCCTGTGGAATTTTACAACGAAGGGAAACCCGTGACACATCATGAAACATCCAAGTCCAGCAACCTTCAATCTTGATGGTGCTCCGCGAACACTGTAAGATGGTCGTAGTTTTCCAGGCCTTTGTCTATTGCCTAGAGGCTATCTCTGTGGCCACTTAGGACCATGGGCCGACATGTCGAGTGAACAGCATCTTACTTGATCCTCATAGTGCTAAGTTTCAATCGTAATGCCAGTCCCAGTCCAGTCTTTCCCACATGCTCTACCACTTGCAAGTCTCGCACCCTGAAAGTCTTTCAAAGCCCCCCCTGCAAAGTCGCAAAGGCCTCCTCTCTTTTGGAACTCCGCGGTTTTGACTCCCCGGCAGGTTGGAGCGCACCCTCGCGCGCCTCATGCGCCGCGCCGCCAATGCCGAAGCCGCGGCGTCGCACTGCGAGTCCGGCGCCGCGGCCGGCGCCGTGGAGGGCGCCGTGGAGGGCGCCGTCCGCCCGGCGCCGGCGAGTCCGTCGTCGGTGCGAAGGCCAAGCGCCACCGGCTTGAACCCCTTGGGGGCTGCCCCAGTGGAACTGGAGGAGCTCAGTGGATTGACTGGGGGGTCCTCAGGGTTGGTGCCGGAGGATGGATGAAGCTGAGAAGCTGGGACGCTTCCAACAGTGTTTGGGTGAGCCTTTCTCATGCAGTCTCAAACAGCTAGTATAGTTGTGCCACTATGGCAGGATGTTTCACTGCCCTTCACCACGGAGGCTTTTTGGAGCTCTGCCAATCAGTGCCCCTTTCAAGAGGTTTTAGCACGAGTTCTGCACCAAGCGCAGGGACAAAGCAAAGATGCTTTTTACATCTTTTTACTGTACAAACTGCTTGCAGCCCGCTGCTTCCTCACTTCTCAGGCACACCCAAAAATGAATAGAGTTGATGGAGAAATTGGCATGCACTTCAACTTGTCCGCTTGAGCCGACACTGAGGCCAAGACTGGTCACATTGGAGTATATCATTTGTATTGTAAGGTAAAAGGGGAGGTGGAATTGGTTCAAGGCAGTTCAAGGGTTTGAATCCTTCGTTCACCTGCAGGGTAGGACTGCCAAGGGATGCAACCATGGACCTTTCACTTGAGGGATGTGACATGTCACGGACCAACCTATCGGCCTTGGGGACCATGGACCTTGGACCTTTACTCCAGCAGAGCCAAACGGACACGGGGTGAGTGTACACGTTTTCATTCGGAATGGAAGACTACAGTAAGTCTTCATGAAAGATGCGTCAAAGCACACTGTGGGACAGGGACATGTCGCTGAGTCAGGAGGAGCTTCACCTTCACAGAACCAGGCCGCCCAATTTCAAAGCTTCCTGGTCTTTCCAACTCCTTAGCTCCCGCCCAGACTCGAAAGTAGGTTGAGAGTCGAAAGTAAGGTTAGCTTTGTTTGTTGGGTCGCTTTGTACATCTTTTTTTTGGCACCTATTGCCTATGACCACTCTCCAATCCGCGCGAGGACACGGATTGGCCCAGTTCAGATCACAAGCTGCGTGGTGCAGAGGAGAAGGAGGGAGTTCTTGGGGCAGCAGGGGGTTGAGGCTTTGAAAGGAAGGTTGTGGGGGAGATCATCTCCCCTTTGACTTTGTGATCCTGCTTCTTTGTTTGTTTGTGTGGGACTTAACTGACGCTTGCCAGTTCAGACCCTTTGGACAACTCTAGTCGAGGCCTTTGTACCCAGGATGCAAAGGAACCTATCAAAGGGACGGGAGACATGATAGTTCAGATTCCAGAGAGAACACTCAGACGCTTCACATGGGACCGATCGGATCCAGACGCGAAGTCCAGTCGCGCTCTTCTTCTGTCACATTGCTGGGGAAGATATGCTCCGAGTCAACACTTCTACAAGCCCTGCTTGTGGTGAGAACGGAACTGCAGGGCTGGCTCTTCCCACCTGATGGATCAGAAGTCCAGCAGGTGCTCCTCCCAGAGCTGTTTGAATGTGTGATGCCTCCAAAACCATCGGCCCATAGACCTGCAGGTGATGCTTCCAGCACTGGGTTTGATGGAACCCGGTTCTTTGAGCCCAACCGCAATGGGGTTGTGCATAGCCGTGTTTGCAGGCCGATATGGATGGTGCTGCGCGGGTTGAGCCTCGGCCAAAAGTCTGGCAGTCCTCGGTCCGGGGTGGGCTGTGAGCTGTTGTGAGCGGCCCTTAAATGGATCCGAACAAGGTCAGTCCCACCTGAGACATTCAAAGCAAGCGCATTCGCCCAGTGATCTGGGAGCCGCATCAACCTGCGAGAATGATTAAGGTTGCGTGCTGATTCAGACATGTCTTGCATATCATGTGGTTCTCTGACCACGATGAACAGATTCTCGTCTGGGTGTAGGTCACCAAAACGCGAGCTTCCTACAGGTCAGACCTAGAACACCCACTGGGTTACGCCAAGGACCCTACTGTAAATAGTGGGACATTTGAAGATATGTTCACCAAGTTCATCATCATGTAGCCGACCCACAAATGGAGCAGATCAGAAGGGTTTATCATATTAGCTGCATTTGCCATGGTAAGCAGGAACCAACATCCAGCACTCGAAGGATCTAGCATCTACGTATTGTGGAACTGCTCACAGAGGGGCTTGCACCGTGCCTGGACATTTGGACTTGTTTGGGCACGGGGCACAACCGCTTGCGTGCTTGCGGCCGTGCCTCACCCCGGTCATGCCATCGTTTCAGGATGTCCAAGAGCGTTGTACCCAGCTTGAGAAGCTGCTGCGGGAACACTGCGTGCAGCTCTCCCTGCTCCCAGCGCAGCAAATGCAGGTGGCGGTCGGTAGCCGCATGGTTGGTCGGGACGAAATCACTCGGTGTGAAGATCTGAAGAGAGGAACATGAGAGGGACATGTCGGTTGTGGGGTTACCGCAGATGGCACCGGAGGAACTTGCTCCTGTGGAGGAAGATGGAGGAAGATCGCCCCTGGCGGGTTCGATCTTCTCAGATGTGGGTTTTGCATGGGTTTGGTCTTTCTTTGGACCCGCGTCTCGAACGCTTCGTCGAACGCTGCACGAAGCGTCTCGAATCCTTCGGAACTGTTTTTCGCTGTGTCCCTGAAAATCCTGCGAGGAAGAGGCGAATCAACTCATTACCACGGCTGAAAGCTTGGGCTGTCAAGTGGAAGCTGTGAACGCTCAGGCGAGTCCGGTTTGGACCGGTGGGTTTGGGTGGTCTCCAGGTGCCATGCACGGATACTCTTCTCTTGGAGCCTACTACTCTTGGCCACATGTGCCAAGAGTCCCGATAGACGCATTGCTAAGGGGAAATGGCGTTGAGATGTTGTTTGTGGATGTCTAACCACACCACACACCTATGCCATCCGCTCGGACCAGTTGCACCCTCCCTGGAAGGGAGAGACTCGGAAAATTAAACTCTTGGTCTTGCTGATTGGTCTTGTGATTTTCTTAAACTGAATCGCCACGATTTGCAGGACCGGAAGTGCTTGCGGATGAAAAGTAGTGTGTGTGCAACCAAGTGTGCCACATTTTCAGACACTGGAGAGTGTGAGTCTGGAAACACTAGTCGGCAATGCCAATCCTCGTGTGTCCGCCAGGTTTTGATTGTTTTAGGTTTCCTGACACTCCACACTCCACACTTTCCACATCTTTTTCACGACACTATGTTGTGTTTGTATCAAGGGATTGGAAGACGAAACCAGAGAAACGAGAACGAAGCCTCTTGAAACTGAAACGTTTTTGGATTGTCATGTCTTCTGGACTTCTGGGTCAAGCTATTCAAAGAAGTGGCTTAATGAGGCTTAATGTTTGTTTATCGCGTGTCCTTCCAGTGCGGCATCGAATTCCCACCGAACAAGCCGTGAGACTGCATGAAAACGTGAACCCAGCCAGATGGTGCATCACCTTTTTTGACCTCAAGTTTTTCGAGTCTGAGGTCCACAGATTAATCCAAGGTGGCTTGACTTTTGAGGAAGACTTTTCGAAGGATGGGCCCAGCATTTATGCAGTCAATGAACAATACATCAAACCAATCACAGCTGCTGCTGGCAAAATGAGCTGGGCCTTGATGATGAATCCAGATGGACTTGACTGTGATTTGTTCATAACCCACGCTTGGCAGGAAGGTGTTTTTGAATTTACGCAAAAGGTGCGGACGGCTTGGCCTTGGAGAGCGCGTCATGCTTGGTGCTGCATGCTTGCAAATCCCCAGAATTTGAATATTTCTGCAATGATTCGGTGCCCAATACTATCACCTTTTGCACTTGCCTTGAGGAGTTCCACGTTTTTGTTGGTGGTGCCTAACCGGAATGCAAGTGTTTACACAAGGTTGTGGTGTGGATATGAAGCATACTTGGCGTTTCAAAGTGGCAAGATTATCCAGACTGCCAGGCCTCCGATTTGGCCCCAAGTGCTGATGGCTTGGTTTTTGATGTGTCCAGCACTTCTGGTAGGTATCATTGTCGGTATGATCATCATCAGAATCGAGGAGTCGAAGACTGGCTTGGCTGCCGTGTCATTGACACGAGCAATGAGAGAGCTAACGCTCCTGGCCGGTTTGATAAGCCAGAACATTGGTCACAACACACTATGTTTGATTGTGAACCATGTTGGGCTGGTAGCTTGTCTCGCCCGCCTGATTGATTCCTCGAGCTCACATCCGCTTGTCGCTGCTGACCCTCTGCTTCCAGAAGAGGATATTCCACTACAACATATCGAGCACAATTTGCTGCTTTTCTATTTCATTCTTGCCGAATTGGACCGGGTCCACTTGAGCGTAGCATCGCATGAAGCGGATCTGCTGGAAAACCAGTATCAAGGGTCACTTCGTCAGGCATGCTGTTCGGAGATCCGGGATGAGATGAACATACGCAGTGAAATTGGCGATCAAGTCGATGAAGTTGACAAAGTAATTCAAGTACTGTTGAGAGCGGGTATGACATCAGACGCACTACGAGATGCACACATGCACGGGGTAGTGCTCGAACATGCCGGAGTTGTCCAGTTGGCAATTCCTATGCTTGTGCTAGGGCCTCTCCTAATTGAGGGCTTCTTTGCTTTTGCCAGGCATATTGCTGTTTACTTTGCGCCTGACGATAGAATAACTCACATCGACTGGTTCCACTTGTTTCTACAGGCAGTTTCATGTATTGCACGGCTCAGCTTTGTGACTCTTCTATGGAGACGCTCCGCTGATGAAAGATGTTTTATGCTAAATATGATTGGAAAGATTGCTGGTCCAGCGTTGTTCATGGCGACGTTTCTGAAGACTACGACCACACAGCTTTGGCTATTGGCCTCTGAAATTCTTTATCACCTGTCCTTCGTGGTGGTTTGTGTTTTTGCTTTCTTGGGTATCCGTGGTACATTGAAGTTGCCCTTCGGCCCGTGGTTTGCTCAGATCATGTTGACCAGGATCATCTCATGCAAAGGCACCAGTTATCAACGCTCTATCATGGAGCAGGAGGAGTTGTGTAGTGACGGGTCAGAAGCATCGTCGAGTCAGATTGGAGGTTCATTCTGGGAGATGAGTATGTATACAACGCAGCAGGAATCCATGGTCGCGGTCACACAAACCAGGGCCTAGAGGGGCGTCTACCCAGCTCTCTTGCTCTCCATCGGGCCGTCCCTTTGCTGCTTTGCCTCCAATGTTTTTGCACCTTTCAGACTTCAGCAGGCACTGAAAAGAGCTGAAGTCCGAAGTGGTGACGGGTATGAGGGATTATGGCAGATGGAGAGGCGGAGACCCCGTGGCCAGAGCAGGGAGCAAGGTGTCGCTCAAGCGACCGTGCGTGGAAGCGGTTGATGAAAGTGTTTGGGTTGGTGGAGGAGGTCTTGGATAGTCTCTGCGGGTGCAACATGGCAACATGTCATGCAGTGTGGCCCAGGCATCATTGCTCTTGTTTGGTGTTTTACACCCCCGAAAGGCTGGGACCAAGAAGATCTTGAGTCACATTTTTTCGAAAAGATGTAACGAAGCATGGCGGCTGCAGAGTTTTTGTCTGCAGTAGTTTTGGGCACAAGCCTGAATGAGACCTATTTTAGGTCAAAACTAGTCGTAGAGCAGCCCATACTTAACGGCTTGAGAAGTGCCAAAAGAGCGGTACGTCCACCCACACCAGGTGCGCCTCTGCCGCTGCGGCAACGTGTTGATGGACGACGCCCGGTTCTGCCGGAAGTGTGGTGGACAATGGACGCCCGGTGAAGCAGGCGACGTGGGCGGACGTTTGTCCGTCATTGGTTGCTGTGTGGGCCGTGTTTTCATGACGGAGTGATAGACAAGTGATAGAAAATGGATGAACATGGTACTTTCGGCCCATTTAACATGGCCTGCAACGTGAGGATCTCGATTCCAATGTTCAGCTCACCTCCTTGAGCTCTGAGCTTCATCTCCTGAAAGATCGACGCTTAGAGGATTTTAGAGTAGAGGAGGTGTTGTAGATGGTAGATGTATATATAAATATATAGTTGTTATATAACATTATTGTTGTTATTGTTCTTCCAAACTTTTGTGGTTGGAATTCCGCAGGTGTAGAGTTGAGGATTCCAGGATTCCCAGTCATTCAGTGAATTCTTCTTGCAGAACAGCTCGCAGCGGTTCTAAAGATATCCCAGAAAGGCTGCATGAGGTCTCCACTTGGTGTAGCACTTGCATTTTACCAGGTGGCGGAGGATATTCCCAGCATTTCAATAATTGCCCCCAGAAGCAGGTCTCTGAAAAAAGAACACAACGTGCCAGCGATGAACATTCTGAATGATGCCTAATTGGCACTTTGGAGGTTCCAGTCCGGGTCTATGCTGTCATTCCTTCAGCACCAGTCAGATCTACCACGACCCCACCAGTCGCCTCACCATTCTTGAAGCAGTTTTGAAATACGGCTTCTGCCTCCACACACGCTGGCCGGAGCTGCACAGGCGGCGCCAGTTCTCAGCAGCTGGCAGCGGAGGTGTCGTCACTGCGCATGAAGATCCAGGAGTCGGAGCAGGCGCCGGCGGCGCCGGGGGTGAGGGAGTGGTGTCCGCAGACTTCGGGTTCCCATTTCGGGCCCCCTGGATGTCTGAAATCTAAGTAACATAGCAACAAATGTTCTGGAATCCAGAAGTGCTTGCACGTGGCGCCGCGTGGCGGGACATCTTCACGGGTTTTCGCCCATGTCTCCAAGGTTCTGCGCGAGTTCACCAAAGAGTCTGGTGCTTCCACTGGCACTGAAAGCGTGGAGCCCGAGCAGGTTACCCTCGACGGTGCGTCATGCTTATGGCGGAATCGCAAGGGCATCGCCCCATCCCCGTGTCTTGAGAGGGTCCGTATTCCTTCTTTTTTGATCACTCAATTCTATTCCTCTTTTGCGTAGGTGGAGGGTTGGGGTTCAAAGCTGATTTGGGCCCCCTGCAGGTGGTGAGCTTGCTGTGGAAAACGTCCGAAGAAACAAATCCTCGGCCTGACAGCTGGATCAATCCTCATCTTCGGGAACCTCTCGTAGACGTGGAGGTTCAAGCAAGCCTCCCAACAGCTTCGAGCACTCCCCAGCAGCCCGAAGTCCTGTCAACATCCCCCAGCAGACGCCGCGAGGTTCCCACGCGCGCGACGCGGCGCGCGTCCTGTTTTGAGCGCTCAGAAGCGCCAGACGCCAGTAGCTATAGAAGCTATAAGTAGCAAGGTACCTTACTAGTATCTAGTAACAAGCTACTAGTAGTAAGGCACCTAGCTTGTCGTTTGTCGGGCCCAAGGCAGCTTCACCATGTCACGGATCTTCCGACCGAAGGATGGAGCGATGCTCCAGGCGCCCGGTTTTTCCCACGGATCGTCCGCGCACGAGATCTGAAGCCTTGAAAGAACGGGTGGATCTTCATCCTGCCCAGCGGCATGAGCATGCTTCGAGTGACTCTATGGCACTCTATTCTATAGCTATATACAAGCAAATGGACCAGAATGGAGCCATGCTGTCTCACCTGGGCGAATCAGGCCACATTAAAGATGTTAAAGCCGTTTTTTGGGATGGATCGGTTGGAGCCACCCAGACAAAAGTCCTTTCCTGAAGCTCATGAGATGCTGAATTTTACCTCCTGGCCACATGAGCGCAGGTGGAGGAGATCTCACAAGAAGAGCTGCAACAAAGGGACGAGCTCTTACGGCAGAGGACACGGCTTTCCTCGTCCAGTTTTGATTAACCTTCCCCTCGTCCTCGATCGCTCAAGGGATCGGTTTTCCCGCATTCTTTTGGGCGGTAGGAATTCAATGACGTTCAATCCAAAAATGTAGAACATGAGTGGTAACATGAAGATTTCAGTGACGTTGGGGACGTTTTTGCCTTCGACCTCGAAGCAGCCAAAACGACCGAGGTCCTCAGGACTTCCTACTCGTCACGTGTGAAAAAAAGCACCACACCCGGCCTCACCGGATGGTGTGGTGCCTCGAATGAGCTCAGGAGGCACCTCGAAGAGCTCAAGCAGGGGAAGCTGCTGGCCGAAGCGAAGCTTCTGGCGCAACGCTGCATGGTGCCGTCGGCGAGAACGACGGGGCGAACACGGGAGATGAGAGGATTTGGACGATCCCTTTCCGTTCGTTGGATGAACTCGCTGGTTGAGAGGGGCCCTTTGACTTGAGTGTTGATGTTGCTGTATGGAGCTGCAACAAGAGGCTCTCACCGTATGGTTGGTGGGGACCAAGCATCTATTCTTCACATGAATCAATGCCTCCACTTCTTGTGTGGGACTTCATACCCGGCAGAACCCCTTCGTCAACCCAGCGAAGCGTTCGTTTCCGCACCCGGCAGAACCCGTTGCGGTGCCCCAAACGGCGCGCCTCGAGGACCTGTCCAAGGAGAGCGGAGTCGACGTGATGGCGGCCTTGGACGAGGAGGCGGCGCGAGAGACGTTGAGGGCAAGAGACGTTGGGTGGTTTTGGTTCTGTGAATGGCTGCGAAAAGAAACGTCGCACTTGAGTGGAACTTACTCAGTTGGACTGCATTATGATGAAGCATGTAGCTTTGAGAAAGGGCAGGTGTGAGAAAGGGCAGAGGGAGGATACCGAACCGACAGAACATGACAAACTGAGTGTTGTCCAGGAATGAAAGACTTTACATCGTGCAGCAGCCACAGTCGCAAGGTTGTTGTTCTTGGCATCTGGACCGCTTTCTGTGGCTACGTGACAGGTAGGTCGTGGACAACATCTAAGTAGCTCGTGCCTAGCATCTAACAACCCCGTGCCACAAGGGTCTTTGGAGATGTCCGCACCAGGCGCTGACCTGCTTTGGGTGTGATGGGGTGAACTGCCAATACAGGCGGGGGCCGAAGCCAGCGACTGCGGCGTGCATGCATCGGTCCCTCTGCCAAAACACAAAAGAGTTTGTTATATATATATATATAATATAGGCAATAAGTTTTTGTTTGGAAATGACAAACATCCACTCATTACCATCAGGGTTTCTGGCCACTTGTGGCAGACTTGTGTGCCAGAAACCACCTGCAACACTTGCAACAGATCCGCATCCCAGGGACATTCTGTGCCTCCTAACTTTGAGAAGCGCTTTGAGGCGGCAAGTGGAAGTCCTGCAAGAGATGGTGAAGACCTTGCGAGGGCTTTGTGGTCAGCTGAGCGAACGGCTGCAACAAGCCACAGGCCTGCAACAAGCCGTGGCTTTGAGCTGCGGTGTTCTTGCATTTGTAGAGGAAGAGATCCAACCAGCTGACGGGAAGTGGCGGGGGGGCTGGTTGCTTTCGGAAAGGCGACCGATCGTTGTAGTTCCAAAAGAATGGCCTTGTTCGTCCCATCTGGATGGAGTGGATGTGACCGGGGCAACCCCGACCTTCCTCCGTTCGTTGGGCACCCCGACATGGATCTGCCCTGCCTATCCCTTTTTACTCAACGGGACTTCGACGGATTTCTCATTTCTGGGACGAGTCGAACTGCCAGGTGAGCACTTGCAGATGTCCATGGCCTTGACCTCCATGCAAGGGTCGCTGGAAGCAGCCGCCCAGGCACTTGAACTGCCTCCACTTGCCGCGCTCCCCCGTTCCGCACCGTCGCTTGTGGTCGGTGGTCGGTGGTTTTCGTGGTTCCGTGTCAGTGGTCTCAGAGCGAGTCTGAGTGGATGTGAACTCTGAAGTTGGACATGTGGAGCGAGTCTGAAGCGAGTCTGTTGCGTTGCCTTTCGACTCCTCTCGACTCGTCTCGGACGTACCGTACCACACGTTGACAACCAACCCCAATGTTTGAACGAACAAGATGTTCCTGAGCGAGGCTTGATGCATATTGGATCCCCTCATTGGAGAGGACGAATAGCATGGAACTCCGATGGTCGGGGTGTTCAGCGACTTTAAAGGATAGCTCCGATGTTTGACATGTCTTGCAATCTATCGAGTGGGAATCTATGTGCTTCGTCCAAAACTGCAGGGCCAAACACAAGCCACAAAACCAGCTCAAAGACCTGCTCTAGAAACCAGGTAGAATCCCAGTCCACTGATCACCTGAAAAGGTAGATGACTTGCACAGCTTTCTTGAATCCTGGCATTCCAATGAAAGCTTTCTTGAATCCTGGAGACTGGCGGTCCAATAAATCCACGATGACTTCTGACATTCCCATCTTTTTTGGGGAATCCAATCTTTTTTTGGGAATCCAATGACCATTAGACCAACTACGGGCTCTGCAGGCGGTGGAGCAAACGAGCCAGGAGAGGGTCGGGGGGGCGAGGAGTGGACAGTGGAGCGCAACAGAAAGTACACTACAGTAGTGCCTCGAAGTCCAAAGACTATATAGATTTCCTCAGTGAAGTAAAGAAAGTTCTTTTTGTCCTAGTCTTTGACTCATAGGGTAGTATTAAGGATATTTTTCTTGCAGGTTAAAAGCGGATCATGAGCAATTTGTTAAGTTTTGATCCCTTTTTCTTGGAATTAGTGTCGAGGGAAGAAGTTTTGAAAGACCTTGAGCCCAACAAACGACCATGAATTGTTGGGGATTCTCCATGTGAGGTGATGTAGGATTTTAAGCATCCAACAATCCTCCAGAAACAAAGGAACTGGCTTGCCATCTTTTCAGAATTGTTATGCAACCTGTCTACCTGAACCCTCCCCCCGCAGGTTATTTGAACCCTACTAACTTTTGATACTGGAATCTTATCTGCTGCATCTTTTTGGACAAGAGGCACCTTGATTCCGCGTTAGGCCATCTCCGGGTCCTCGGTACATCGCCGTTTTCACACGCCGTCCTCGACGTTCGCCTCGTCCGCGCACGTCAACGGACGGTCGACGGTCCGTAGCGGCCCAATCGACGTCCGAGGAGGTCGATTGGGCCGTGGACTCGGTGTCCGGCGGCGAGACGGGTGGCTCGACGGGTGGCTCCGGGGGGGTCACCTTGGCCGAGGCGAAGGCGGGTGGTCCGGTGGGAGGAGACAGGCAGCGGTTCCTTAAACAGGGGATGCCGTGGTTGGACTGATGTATGACTGATCTCAGGTGGTGTGAGATGTTTTTTGTGAAAAGAAGGAGGGAATGCGGTTGAGGGCTTTCTTGCGAAGTAAAGTAGGGCGAACTCCTAGCAGGTGGGTCTTCATGTGGTTGTTCTTGAGGACATGGACTTCAGATGACTTTAGTGTTTGTTCTTTGCGAGACATGAATATCTTGTTGCTTGGGAGGTCAGCACAAAGATAAGTATACTGTACTGTTTGTGTTAGATTCACAGTGTCGAGAGGCAGCTTCGCCAGAAGGGTCTTCTTGGCTCCGCTTGTTCATGGAGCCTAGCGTCGCTGCCGCTAGGCCATCCCACCCTGGACGTGATGTGAAGTACAGTTGTTTGTTGTGACGTGGGTTCCGCGGGTTCCGTGGGGTTGTTTGTATACCTTGTTTGTTACCGACTACCGATGCTGCGTATCGGGCTCGGCTGGCCCAGCAGTTTCTGGCGAAGGTGACATGGCGGTGTCAGGGATACTGGGCGCTTCCTGGTTTGCACATGCCTTCGATGGTGGGCAAATCATGGACTTTGAACGCATTCCTTCTCTCCTCGAAAGTGGCTGATCGAATTTTGCCCCACCTGTGTGACAACCCACGATACAGACTTCACGCTTCAAGACTATTGCTTTGAGTTCAAGCCTCGGTAGAACAGCATCATGCATTTGAACAGGCCATTCGCCTGCTCCTACCGCTCTCGTAGTCGCCATAGGCAGCATGGGTCTCGTTGTGAACCACCAGGCTACCCCCACTACCGTCTCCTGCGCAGCACACAGACACACACACACACCTTTGACCGTCTCTGACCTGTGCTGTGAGGCGCAGCTGAAGCGCGTGCTCCGTCAAGTGACCACCTCGTTGCAAGAAACGAAGCGGCGCTCAGTCTTCTGGCGGCTCTACCAGATGCTCGGCTCCTTTCCGCGAAAGCCAAGCCAGTCACGGACCTGTAGGAAGGTGTGGGACCTGGGTGGATTTTCAAGGGGGGGGATGCTGTGAACAAGTGACCCTATCGCAGGCCTTGACCAGGTTCACGCCATGTACTTGTAGAAAAACTTCAAGGTTCAAGATCCTTGTTGGGGGCAGTGATCAACCTCAGTGCTGACTTTGAGCCCGCGCGAAAAGACCACACATGTTTTCACAAAGCTTCGGCTTCGGGGTGTGGCACGGACACCGCACCACCGGGCTTGGTGGCTGGGCGGCGAGTCTCAACCGTAGGGGCCTTGTAGAGTTGTTGGCTCCAGCGCCTCTCAGCTCCCAGGAACAACGGTGCCACTCACCGCCGAAAGCTGCTTGACCCAAGGAATTGCTGCAGTTCGGAGCTGTGGCCCAGGCATGGCATGATGTTGGAGTAGGTTAGATAAAGGAGATTTTTGTTTGATGTTTTGACAGGGAAGCACGCCTGGGAGATGAGCTGTTCGTTTATAAAACCCAAAGGTTTAGAGTTTAGACCCGTCAATTTTTTTGGAAGCGCAACATGGAGAAACCATATTTGTTTGGGGGAGTACACCCTTCTGCCACACAGCTATTCTAGTCGGGGTCCTGAAGAACCCCCTTGGCTATTGGTGGGAGAGGTTTCCTTCGGATCACCACATCACCTGCCCAGCATGTGCGTCGCCTTCTTCGCCTTTGAGGTCTGAGATGCAAGAGAAGCGAGCGGCGCTTCTGAACAAGACCTATGCACACCTGTACAAGCGCCCGAGCGAATTTCAGTGGCGGAGCGGGTTTTTGCTGGGTCGGTCGAGTTGTCGAGCCTTATCCAGTAATCCATTTCCATGAAGATTACAAACACTAGTTTTGGGGATGGTCATTTGGAGACACATTGAGCTTTTGTTGTGACCGTGGGACAGACTTCTCAGTGATGAGCCATACCCGCTTCTGTTGTTTGGACAAGCTTTCTTGACATCAGGGCAGCCTCTTGAGAATGGACATGAGGACTTTCAAAAGCTCATGGTCTCCATGGTCCCCATTTGATCACCCAACTCTCCGTGCTTCCTGTTGGGGCCCCGCGCGCCGCGGCCGTCCGAGGTTGGACCCCGCTGCGGACCTCGGGCCGTCGCTAACGGCCCCCCCGCCGGTACAGGCCGAGGTCCCTCGGGCACCGCCCGTGCTGGCTCCAGCGGCGCCTGCACACAATCCGAGGGCGAGGTCTGGGGGCCTCAACGGGGGGCCCCAACGGGGGGGGGGGGGGCTGTTGTTGCCGGACCTGGGGCGTTTGAGATGCTGGAGAGTATTGAAATCTGTTGGAGATCCCTCCAGTGGACATGGAACATGTTGTACCCCAGCTGTTGCTGGGTACACCTTCCGACTTTCCCAACACCCGACGAGGCCCTGTTTCTGTTGGCCTCCCCTTCCTCCGTGTGCAGGTCCTTCTCTTTGCAGCCAACGCATCCGTCCGCGGAGAAACCCCTGTCGGGTGCTGTGCCTTCGTCGCTGCCGGTCTCTTGGTTTCACGGGTGGATCCGTGGTGGGCTTATAGGTCGGATCCGTGGTGGATTCGTTTGCGGGTTTTCGATGAAAAGAATCGTATTGTTTTTTTTTCTCAGAGTGGATAGGCTGCCGGGCCTAGCCCGGAGCGAGCTTTTCCCCGGAAGAGCGAAGCTGCTTCGACGCCACCGGAAATTCAGGGGGGTTCTTTTCCCAAACAGAAACAAAGACACATGTCGGAATCGCTCAATGGGGGTCTCTTTTTGGACCTTTTGTGACAAGTTGAGTGCTGTTCTTGACCCAAACATTTCAACTGGCCTAAAGTGGTCTGCAAACAGATTGACGAGCAATTCACGTAGGAGGACATCCGCTGGAGCTTTCCAAGCACACCATACACCATCCTGTGAAATCGAGGCTCTTAGGTTGGAGGCACTAGGGTGGAGGCCGTTGCTAGTAGGGTGGAGGCCATCGCTAGTAGGGTGGAGGCCATCGCTCTTAGGTTGGAGGCCATCCCTACTAGGGTGGAGGCCATTGCTAGTAGGGTGGAGGCCATCGCTAGTAGGTTGGAGGCCATCGCTAGTAGGTTGGAGGCCATCGCTACTAGGGTGGAAGCCATCGCTCTTAGGTTGGAGGCCATCGCTAGTAGGTTGGAGGCCATTGCTACTAGGGTGGAGGCCGTCGCCCTACTAGGGTGGAGGCCATCGCTCTTAGGTTGGAGGCCATTGCTAGTAGGGTGGAGGCCATCGCCACTAGGGTGGAGGCCATCGCCACTAGGTTGGAGGCCAATTGATAGATTTACATAAACAGAAAATGGCCTGTCTGTACCTCCAGGTCATCGACCGGCACCATTCCAAGAATGCAGCGCCCCTCTCGGCCCGGGCTTTGGCGCCAGCGGCCCGGTTGGAAAGCAGCAGCCGTTTTAATCCAGCCTCAATCGAGATCCCTTCATGGGGTTCAAACAGGGTGGCTGTTGGGCACAGCCATGGAGTGAGCATGAATCTTCAACTGAATGAACAATGGTATTAGAAGAAACATATTGGTACACCATGGCCAGCTGCCTTGGCTAGTTGGGTTGCAGTTATGGACATAGTCTTGAGGGTTGCCAAGCCGCGCACAGAACACCGACCAAGCAGTTGACACACCTATGATGCTGACAAAAATCAACCACACGAAGGCAACAACCTCGCAGGACGCTGAAATCTAGACAGCCCACTGCCCAATGTCCACACAATCCTTTTCGACTGGTTTGATTTCACCACCAACTCACCACCTCATGATCCCTAAATCAGCGCAAAGCTTCTCTCCCCCTTCTTGGCTTCCGATTCCCCAAAACGTCCGCAGACCTCCGCGCCTCGAACGCCCGAGGTGGTGCGCGTGGAGTTCGGCGATGAGATGGCCCCTCCGGCCACGTCGCTGGGCGCGGCGGTGCCGCGCGTGGCCGGCGCGGTCTTCTCACCCAAGAAGACCTCGGCGCGGCGGCCTTCCAAGAGGCGATGGTTTGGGAGGGGGATGAGGTTTCTTTTTCCTCAATTCTTTCTTAAGATGTGTCCGCCCTTTGTGTCACTGCTGGTGTCTGACCTTTTCTGCTGGCGATGCAACATTTCTATTAATTTGTCTCCCATGCAACTCACCAAACAGGTTCACCTGTGAAAGGTTCTTACTCCTTTGAAAGGGGTCATGTCTTCGGGATTGCATTCCTGCCACACTGTGTAACTCTCTCAGCTTTTTTTCCTTTTCGGGCAAGCGTTGGATGAATGACCGGATTGGATTCCGGCGGCGTGGCAGGGATCTCTCTGTTCAGTTTGGACGGAGGGCATACGTCAGGCACCAAAAATCCATTTCATGTCACGTCCTCTGCTCTTCATGATTTTATTTCTTGTCCTCACGTGGTCAGCTCCCCGGCATCATGTTCGCGCTTTAATATTAATTCCCCAAACAGTTTGCTGTTAGGGCTTTTCCATTCTTTGTTAAGATGTGTCCGCCCTTTCTGTTCATTTGTCTCCCAGGTGATTTCTTTACTTTTGTCTCCCAGGTTCGGTGCCT